CTTCCGGTTTAAGGAATCTTTCTCAAGGCCCAGGCTAGTTTGTTTAGTATTTAGGGCAATGATCCAGATAGGTTCTTCAGTACTCGAGGACCATTCAAGCCTGAAGGGAAATCCCTGCAGCTGACTGAGTCATAGAACTGTCATGATGCCATGTGACTTTTTATAAAGACACAGAAAGAGAGTAAGAGGATGGATGCCTTCATAACTGTTTTATTGCTGTGAAGAGACACCTGTGTAGCATGAATAATAAAAATCCAGAGACAGACATTGGGGGGTTAAAGTTGAAGATCAGAAAAGCAAAGTGGCCAGCTACTAGAGAGTTCTCACCTCTACCAATGCTCAGACCGAAGGGGTGATCCACCGAACTTGAGACTGCACTGCTCTCCACCAGACTATCTGAGCTCTGGCTCTTCCTACCTTATATTCCTTTCTGGTGCTGGGATTCAGGGAGTATGCCACCACTGCCTGATCTCTATGGCTGTGGCTAGCTTTGCACTCTGATCTTCAGGCAAGCTTTATTTGTTAGATCATAAAATATCACCACACACCAGAACCAAGGCAGCCCTTATAAAAGAAAGTATTTAACTGGGGGCTTGTTTACACTTTCAGAGGGTTAGTCCATTATCATCAGGACAGGGAGCATGGTGGCAGACATGGCACTGGAGAAATAGCTGAGGGCTTTACATCCTGATCTGCAGGCAGCAGGCAAAGAAAGAACCTGGGCCTATTCTGGACTTTTTGAAACCCCAGTGCCCACTCCCAGTGACACACTTCCTCCAACAAGGCCACACCTCCTAATCCTTCTAATCATTTCAAACAGTTCCACTCTTTGGTGACTAAGAATTCAAATAAATGAGCCTATGGGGGTGCATTCTTATTCAAACTACCACAGTGGATTTTTGGATCCCTACATCTGGCAATTCTGCTGAAGTTGCTATGGTAATGGCTGTAAGATCACACTGACAGAGCAGCCCCCACAACCAGTGCTTATTATATGACAAGAACACTTAGCCCTCATTGGCTCTATGGGATTTCCTAATAGATTTAGCTTTCCATTACTGTGATAAAACATTCGAGAACATCAACTGAAAAGCAGGCAACATTTGTTTTAGCTCCCAGATTCAGGGTTTCTTAGTCCATGATTGCTTGCCCATTCAAGACTGTGGCAGAGCAACACTCAATCACAGGCAATGTGTAGTGAGTCAAAATCATGGCTAAGAAACAAATACAAAGCAGGGGTGTCGACATCCCAATGTCTCCTTCAAAGGTACACTGCCCCCCCCCATCACCCAAATTCCTCCAACTAGGTTTTACTCCCTAGAAGTTTTTCCCATGCCAGGCAACATGATCAGTTGTTCCAGAAGCAAGCTGTCAACATATGAGCCTGTGGGGAACTTCATGGTCCACCTATAAGAGAAAAATGCTCACACTAGGCATGTTCATTCTGAGGATCACTTGGCCCATGCTGACAAGTAGAAAGGTGTCATTATACATGTTGAATGAATGATTCAGGAAGGTCTTCCTTGTACAATCAAGTAATTGAAACCCTCTCTACCTAGTAATAATTGGGCTCTTGGCAAAAATATTAAGCTCGTTCTACCATTCTTGGACATCTGATTTAGTGAGAGATGGGTTATTGGGTGTTTGTACTGATTGCCTTTGGACTTGAATGACTATTTAATGTGTTTATCATACCACACCATCTAAAAGACAGTCATGGTCCCACATGCTCATATTCCTGTTTCCTTCCTTCCTTTTTCTTAATTTTTCTGTCTTATTTTCCATGATGGAGATTAAACTGAACTCCAAGCCTTGCACTGATTGATTGGTGTGCTACTGAGCTGCATTCCAAGTTCTTGGCTTTGAGACCAGGGGTTACTATGTAGCCTATGGTGACCTCAAACTCCTGCCCCTGCCTCCTGAATGCTGGGATTCTAGGTATGCTTCATTGCAATGCGTGGGTTGGTTGTTTTGTTTGGGGTCTTCCTGGGCTATGGCAATTGAGATCATATTAACCTTTGACATCATCCATGAAGCTGGACCGGATGCTTAAGCATGTTAAAGGTTCTGGGAGCTTTAGTCCTATCTGTCACTCACAGATTTCTTGCTTAAATTTTCCTTTCCCTGGAGCTGTGAGATTTTAAAAGACTGAGCTGAATTCTGGAATCCAGTTACAGAGAGGAAAGAGTGATGAGCAAAGGGGTAAAGACCAGGCTAGAGAAACCCACACAAACAGCTGACCTGAACAAGGGCTTGCTCATGGACCCCAGACTGATAGCTGGGAAACCAGCATAGGACTGTCCCAGACCCCCCGAAGGAGGAAGACAGTTTGGATGTCTGGGCAATCTACGGGGCCACTGGTAGTGGATCAGTATTTACCCCTAATACACAAATGAACTTTGGGAGCCCTCTCCTCATAGAGGGATACTCTCTCAGCCTAGACACACTGGGGAGGATCTAGGCCCTGCTCCAAATGATATGACAGACTTTAAAGATCCCCCAAAGAAGGCCTCACCTCCCTGGGGAGCAGAAAGTGGTTGGGATAGGGGGGTCTGTGGGGGGCAGGAGAGGAGGGGAGGGAGAGGGAACTGAGATTGACATGTAAAAGAAGCTTGTTTCTAATTTAAATTTTAAAAAAAGAAATTAAGAGTGAAAAGTAAATAAATAAACAAACAAATAAATAAAATATTTTTAAAAAATCAAAGCTACAGATTTTAATTGCAGGTTGACTGTTTTAGGGAGTGAAAGTAGAAGAGACTGTGAGGCGGCTGCACACTCCATCACTTCTAGTGGCTTCTCCCCTTACATGTCTATTCCCTTCAGAATGTAAAGACAGATGAGCAGAGTCTTCAACAGAGATAAATTGGCCTGGAGGAAAACAAGAAAAAAAGAAATCTAAACAGGTCTCCATTCTGATATCCTTAGCAGGACCAAACGACTTGTTCCAGCATCAGTAGTGCCCCTCCCCCAGAAAGGGGAGTGGTGTCTATCACACACAGCCTCTGTCTATCATCCCTGAGAGCTGAGGATGCTTTAGTAAACTTTTTCCAGATGGGTGAGGAGTCCAGATTCACAATCAGCCCCGCTATGGTGCCAGCCATTCCTGTTATTACAGCCGCTGTGAGGGGAGAGGGAGAAAGGCCATTGCCAGAGCACAGGGTCTGAGAAGCCCCTGGGCAAAACCTAACACTTGCTTCTTCTTTTTATTCTTGACAACAACAACAAAAAAAGCAATCCTCAAAAGTTATGAAACATAACTGTCATGGGTAATGAGAATGCATATCAAACAGCCTGCCCAGAAATGGTACCTCAAGCTTCAAAGTGAGAAAAGCCCTTCGGGATGGTGAATTCTCTTGGGGACCTAAACACAAGGCTCACAGAAGCAAGTTCATCCAGAAAACATGGAAACAAATTTCCTTTAGTTACAGATTCATGAACGAAACTATGGTGCGTATTTTATGCCCTATGAAAAGTTATACACAACATCCAAAAATGAATGAAGCAGTCCAGTGTAGACAGACAGGAAGGCCCCTGAGCCTACATAAAACTAGATGCTCACTTGTAATCCTTGCCCCTTTTTGTTGTTGTTGTTTCTTTTGTTTTGTTTTTGTTCTTTAATGACAGGGCTTCTTTGTGGAGCCTTGGCTGTCCTGGAACTAGCTCTGTAGACCAAGAGACCAATATATATATACATTAAGTTTTCTTGATAGTTCTGGGGATTGAAACCAGAACACTCTATATGGTAAAGAAATGCTTCACCAAACTATATTATCAGAGTGTGACTCTAGTCATGTCTGACAATGACCCAGAGAACTTTCTATCAAAATCAAGGTGCCCCAGCACTACTGAGGACTTGTAAATAGTTGGGGTGAGGTGCCTGTTTTCCCAGACCAGCAAAGAGATATGACTGATATCTCAGGGATCATAGGCTCACATGGAGGCTTTGCTTCATGCCCACTCATTCTTATTCTAAATTCCATTAAGGTGCATCTGTGCATATGTGTAACTAAGCTGCATGTGGCTTTGCTCCTCTATTCTGTCAGTACCAAGTCAGCATGTCACCCCTAAATAATTATGCTCCTGAAGGATGCAGAAATGCTCAGGCTGACACAAGCCACTGAATCCCGCTCCCCCTGTGTTTATCAGAGACTGAACTGCAGGTGCTGAAGGGACTTCTTTCCCTCCACAGGCTCCCAGCTGCCTCCTGGGGGCTCTTTGTGTCTATTTCCCCTTCACTGGTCCTCATTACACCCACTCTTCCCATAGGAGAGCTCTCTCTCTTCTCCAACCCCACCTACCACACATGTGGCTCAGCTGGAGAAGCACCTGGCTTGGGCAAAGCTCATTTCTCACGTGGCCTCTCCACATGGAGCTACATGGAGAGGTGAACCAGAGATCTTCCCTGCTTACCCACCACCCCACAGATAGTGCCCTGGTGGTCCTGTGGACTGTGCAATACAGGGTGCTTTTCAGGGGATAAATATCCAAATGCAAGCCTCAATTTAATTTTAATATATTGGAAAAGCAAGGAGACCCTCATTGAGGAGCCAGATTGGTGAAATGCCCAGCCTGTCTGACAGGAGCAGCCACACTCAGGCAGGGGCATGCCTCTGACTGAGAGGCAGAACCCCAAACAGAAGCTCAGAGTCTTGGTTTCTTTATCCAGTAGTCACATGGCTGGCAAAATTTGAAGCTTCTCCAAGCAGAGGCATCCTCCACCATAAGTCAGAGTCAGAAGTCATACATCAAATTCAGTTTAAAAAAAAAAAAAACTGCCTTAGAAGTAACTCTAAGAGTATTTTGAAGAGTTGAAACAATCTGGTTCCATGTCTTTTCAGATGTTTAAAATATTAACTGGTGCCATTAGCTTAGCATCAGTAAAACAGAACTCACAGGCTCTTTCATCAGATCATAGTATCTGTTAACAGACGGATCCTTCGGGGTTGAGGAGAAAGACGACTGTTGCCATTGACACCTGTCTCTCTGTCTCCTGCTTGCAGCTCTGGAAAGGAAGATATCGATGAGGCAGAGCAGAGAGGAGCTGATCAAACGAGGGGTCTTGAAGGAAATCTATGATAAAGGTAAGAGGTTGTCTGTTGTCCACAGGCCCAGCAAGGCATACATATCCATTTCTCAATCTGCATTTTGATATCTGCATCACTTTACCAGGGTCCGAGCATTTAACACCTGCTGATTCTGGAGGGAAGAAGAATGTAGTAAAGGGGGCTAAAAGCATCAATATTGGATGAGAAGAAAGGACATGATGCTACCCTACCTACCCAAATCAACCACACACACAACATGCACACGCACATGCACACACACACACATGAACACACAGAGACACACAAGTACACACACACACACACACACACACACGTATATGAACACACACAGACACACATACACACACACATGAACACACAGAGAGACACACATGCACACACACATACAAAATGTAGGCCCTGGGGCAAATGTAATTGCCCATGCTTGTGTGAGCTCTGGGGTTTCCCTAGATAGATATTAAAAGACCACAACCTCATAGGATTTTCTTAGCAGATTTTTTTTCTCTCTTGGAACCTTGAAATCTCTGTCCACAATAGGAAGAAATATGAAATGGAAAGATTATAAACCATACATCAGAGATTAAAATGCTATTTACAGAGCTGGAACTTCTCCATGGGTGTGTCTGAGGGTGTTTGGTCAATCTTTTGCTTGCTCTATTATCCCCTTTAGATAAGAATGGCTGCAGTGGTTCACACAGTAACAGCTCTTCGCTCCTGGTCCCTAAGAGCTCTGGTATTTGATGTTGAGCCTGCTTGCATAGCGCTCTTTCCCTGCTCTCTCCTGGCTTCCCTTTCTTCTGCTTTCTCTTTCTCCTCTTCCTTTGCTTTCTCTCACTCTGATGACACTTTCTGTCCAAGAGTTGTATGTGAGACAGCCAACTGCTGCTTCCAGTATCGTTGGACTCTTTAGGGCTCTGTGTCAGGTCTGTATGTTATTCCAGTTGGTGTTATTGGAGGGGCCAGCACATGAGACATTTGACATCATGAGTTTACCCCAATAATCAAGTGCTCCCATAGGTGGGGTGGGGCAGCCAGTTTGCTGTGATTTTTGTGGATCTTCTCCAAGCCCTGTGGCTCCCACCAGGTAAAGACAGCTTGTGTTTCTGAGTGCTGGTATGCCTCTCTGATTCAGCTTTCTACACTGGGCCTTACTTACTCCTTGACTTAGCTTGGGTTACTTTTGCTAAGATCAGATACCATGACCAAAGCAACTTGGGGAGGAAAAGGTTTATTCTGCTTCTGCTTCGACATTGCTGTTCATCATCTATGGAAGTCAGGACAGGAATTCAAGCAGGACAGGAACCTGGAGGGAGGAGCTGACGCAGAGGCCATGGAGGGTGCTGCTTACTGGATTGCTCCACATGGCTTGCACAGCTCACTTTCTTACAGAACCCAGGACCACCAGCCTAGGGATAACACCATGCACAACAGGCAAAACCCTCCCCATCAATGACTAGAAAATGGCCTGCAAGCTTGCCTACAGCCCGATCTTATGGAGGCATTTTCTTAATTGAGGCTCCCTCCTCTCAGATGACTTTAGCTTGTGTCAATTGACATGAAACTATCCAGCTTACTCCCCTGTGGCAGGTCTCCTCATCCATTTTCATTATAGACCTTTTCAGCAGTATGTTTTCCCACAGCACATATTGCCAGTCTGAAATGCAAGTAGAAAATGGCACACACACACACACCATACCCCCTGCCCTGGTGACAAGAGACACAGGGGGGATGTGACACTGTAATCTTTCAAACTAGGCTAAGTACCTGAGCTTCCTGGGGCCCTGAGTCCCTGAGGGGGGATGCAGTCTCCACTTCTTCCTGGAAGAGGCTAAACAGCAGAACACATCTTCTCTCCAGGGGTGAAGAATCCTTCATTTTGTCACTTCTCTCCAAAGGCACACTTCATACAGCCCCCAAACCCTGCCTGGTGTCAACCGTCATCAGCACACTTCACCATGAGCTCCTCTCCACAGCCACTCCCCAGGAGAGGCCGCAGATGCCTGACTGCAGGTGTGACGTTAAATAATGAGCAGCGAGTACTTGCTTAAATACTAAGCTGGCAGCCCAAGCCCGTCCCGATGCCGCTAAACAGCTCTGCCTGCCTCCCCCCATCCTTTGTCTCCTGCAGCCTTGGCATCTCTGTCTGTAAACCCTCGCATCTCTGTAAAACCTCGGGACCGGATGCAGTGAAGCCGGGAACACTTTCCACTGTAACACTGATCATTTTTATTACATCTAACTAGACTAGGGGGACTTCATAAAAGGAGCTGCAGATGGTTGAAACAAAAATTGTACTTTGCAAGGGAAGAGGCAGAAGGCTGTGGGAATGGGGGGTCTGCCAGGGAGGGCCACATCAGTGGTCAGGAGGCAAGAGTGAGGAATGCCAGAGTGGGTCACTGCTGCGCCTCCATGGGCAGATACAGGTTGACATATGAAACACAGTAAGTAACCAGCATAGTGGAAAGGGCCACTCTAGCCCTCTGTCACTGGGCACACAAACTTGGTTTTAGCTTCATCTTTGCAGTTAGCACTTCTCAGTCTGCTTGGTGACCAAATTTCCTCGCTGGCTATAAACTCCAGGACAGCAGATGCGTCAGAGGGTCACCCCCAGAGCCTCCAAGCTTCAAAGGATGTCAGAACAGACTCTCCAAATTGTTATTACCTCTGTGACGGTAGAGAAAATGAAAGGCAGAACGAGACAGACGGACCGACAAGCAGGCAGGCAGAGAGAGAGAGAACATTAAAATTCTGACTGACTGTACACAGACCTACAAACACGTACACTCTATGCGTATATGCATGCAAGAACTTCACTTGGGCGTGGTGATACATGCCCATAATCTCAGCACTTGGGAGACAGAGCGGGAAGATTAGGTGTTCAAAGCTAGCTTTGCTACAAAAGACCTTATCTAAATAAAAATAATTAATAATGTTAATAATACATAAGTTCATATCTCAACAACAATAAGTGCTTGGAAGGAAGAGGCAGGAGCATCTATGCAAGTCTAAGGCCAGTCACGACTCCATAGCAAGATCCATCTATACCTCTCAGATACAATTAATTGTAAATCTACACTCAGCTACCTTCGTGGCTTTAGTTAAGTTTCTTAACTTCCATGTGCCTCTATTCTTTTAATCTCAAAGTGTGGGTAATACTGTTGGAGTATTGGCTGCATGAGACAATATGAATTAGAACCATGGTAAATACACCAATCCTCAAGAAATGCTAACTTGCTCTCATTACTGTCTCCCCGTCACCATGTCTTACATTGTTTCAAGCCCTCGCTACCCTCATAGATGATTATTGTGAGACACAACACACACGTGTCTACTCACCCGCATTGGGAACTCCCAACAGACCTCAGTAACTACAACTCTAACCCATGAGACTTTTGAAGTTCCTCATGGGATATGGGTGAGTGGTTACTTACCAGAGCAGGGGTGGCTCAGGGGCAGTTGTATCACTGAAAAGCCCAGCCCAGCATGGGTGATGACTCACAAAATCTGCATTTCTGGAGCTATCTAGACAACTTCCAGGCAGCTGTCAGTCTCCTCACCCAACGGTTGCACTCTCTTCCCATAATCTTGAGCTGTTTCCTGCTTCCATAACCTTGAGGAGGGGCTCCTGTGAATGCTGTAGGTTTCATCTTTCCCACATGAGTGACATGTGTTTGCCCTCTGAATCTCATGGATGCCCTGCCTCCTTGTTAGAGGGAGTGTTTCAGTTCAGAGGAAATGTCTGTAGAACACCAATATTGTCAATAGACCCAAGAACCAGGAAGGATAGACATCTCAAGGGCTGACAGGTGGGGGAGGGGGGCTCAGTGGGTGGGAGCTCTTGCTGTGCAAGCGTGAGGATCTGAGTCCAGATCCCCAGTACCCATGTAAAAGTTTAGGTGTGGTCATGCACTCCTGTAACTCCAGCCCTGCGAGAAAAAGAGAAGGAACGGGGAAATCATGGGGGCTTGCTGACCAGCCAGCCTAGCCAGAGAAGAAAAAGAATGCAAGCTCTAAGTTCTGGGAGGGACCCTGTCTCCATGGGATAAGGCAGAGATTGACGGCACACGATATTCCTCAGGCTCTCTAGCTTCCATATGCACATGCACAGCATACTCATACATGTTAGCCTTGTAAGCATGAGGACCTGATCTCCATATGCTAAAGGAAGGTAGGATGGCATACACTTGCGGTCCCAGCACTGGCAAGTCAGAGACAGGCAGGTTCCTGGTGCTCCATGGCCAGCCAGTCTAGCCTGCTTGCTGAGTTACAACAGTGAGGAACCATGTGTCAAAACAAGGTAGATAGTGCCTGAGAATGACACCCAAGGTTTTCATCTGCACACACACACACACACACACACACACACACACACACACACACACACACACACACACACACTGTTTGGCCATTAGTAAAACAGTGACTCTGTGTCTTACACTAAGCAATGTCCTTAAGAGGCTATTAGTCCTGGCTCCAGTTGTCAATCCAAAGCAGAGCTGAGGCAGCTGAAGCCTAGAGAGGCGCTTGTACAGTCGTGGTCTTAAATGTTCTCCACGAGACCGTGTGTTGAAGGCTGGAATCCAGACGCTGGTGCTGTTGGGCGGTGGGGGAGCCTTGGCGATGGGGCCTGGAGGGAGGGAGTTGGACACTGAAATTGTGCTGCCAGAGGATCTGTGAGGTTTGTTTGCTTTGAGCCACGATCTCTCTGTGAAGTCCAGCTTATCCAGGACTCACGGTTCTCCTGCCTTGGCCTCCCTAGCGATGAGACCGCAGTCCCACCATGTCTGCCTCTTTGAAGGAAATTTTGCAGCTCCAGCCACTTCCCCTGTCTGTGTCTGCTCCCTACCCAAGCTGAGATGAGCAGTTTTGTAATTCTGCATGCTCCCCCACCATAACTCTCTGCCTTGCCATAAGCAAGTGACAGGGCCAAGCCACCACGGAAGGAAACCTCTGGAAGGGAGAGCAAAACTAACCTTTTATCCTTTAAGTTGATTTTCTCAAGTATTTTGTGACAA